ACCCTCCTCTCCAGAACCCCTGAATAGACCTTACCAGGAAGGCTCAGGAGTGTGATCCCCCTGTAGTTGGAACACATCCTGCAGCCACCCTTTTTAAATATGGGAACCACCACCCCGGTCTGCCAGTCCAGTGGGACTGCCCCTGATGTCCACGCGATATTGCAGAGACGCGTCAGCCAACACAGCCCCACAACATCCAGAGCCTTAAGGAACTCCGGGTGGATCTCATCCACCCCCTGTAGCCTTGCCACAGAGGAGCTTTATAACCACCTCAGTGACCTCAGCACCAGAGACTTGAGAGGCCAAGCCAAAGTCCCCAGACTCTGCTTCCTCACTGGAAGACATGTTGGTGGGATTGAGGAGGTCTTCGAAGCATTCTGCCCACCGATCCACAACGTCCTGAGCAGAGGTCAGCAGCACACCGTCCCCACTATAGATAGTGTTGGTAGCGCACTGCTTTCCCCCCTGAGGCACCGGACGGTTTACCAGAATCTCCTTGAAGCCATGCGGAAGTCTTGCTCCATGTTCTCACCGAACTCCTCCCGTGCCCGGGTTTTTGCCTTGGCGACCACCCGAGCCACGTTCCGCTTGGATTGCCGGTACCCGTCAGCTGCCTCTGGAGTCCCACAGGCCAAAAAGACCTGATAGGACTCTTTCTTCAACTTGACAGCATTCCTAACCGCCGGTGTCCACTAGCGGGCTCAGGGGTTGCCACCACGACAGGCACCGACAATCCTGCGACCACAGCTCCGGTCGGCCGCCTCAACAATGGAGGCACAGAACAGGGTCCATTCAGACTCAATGTCCCCCGCCTCCCCCGGAATATTTTTGAAGTTCTGTCGGAGGTGGGAATTGAAGCTCCTTCTGACAGGAGACTCTGCCAGACGTTCCCAGCAGACCCTTGCAATACGTTTGGGCCTGCCTGGTCTGACCGGCATCCTCCCCCACCATCTGAGCCAACTCACTACCAGGTAGGGGTCAGTTGACAGCTCCGCCCCTCTCTTCACTCGAGTGTCCAAGACATGCGGCCGCAGGTCAGATGAAACAACAACAAAGTCGATCATCGAGCTGCGGCCTAAGGTATCCTGGTGCCAAGAGCACGTATGGACACCTTTATGTCTGAACATGGTGTTCATTATTGACAATCCATGACTGGCACAGAAGTCCAATAACAAAACACCACTCGAATTCAGATCAGGGGGGCCGTTCCTCCCAACCACACCTCTCCAGCTCTTACTGTTGCCCATGTGAGTGTTAAAGTCCCCCAGCAGAACGAGGGTGTCACCGGAAGGAGTGCTTTCCAGCACCCCCTCCAAGGTCTCCAAAAAGGGTGGGTATTCTGAACTGTAGTTTGGTGCGTAAGCACAGACCACAGTCAGAACCCGTCCCCCCACACGTAGGCAGAGGGAGGCTACCCTCTCATTCACTGGGGTAAACCCCAACGTACAGGCACCAAGATGGGGGGCAGCTAGTATGCCCACCCCTGCTCGGCGCCTCTCAGTGGGAGTAACTCCAGAGTGGTAGAAAGTCCAACCCCTCTCAAGGAAACTGGTTCCAGAGCCAGAGCCATGCGTTGAAATGAGTCCAACCATATCTAGTCAGAACCTCTCAACCTCAGGCTCCTTCCCCACCAGAGAGGTGACATTCCATGTGCCAAGAGCCAGCTTCTGTAGTCGAGGATCAGACTGCCAAGGTCCCCGCCCTCGACTACCACCCGTCACACACTGCACCCGACCCCTTTGGCCCCTCCCACGAGTGGTGAGTCCATGGGAAGGGGGACCTACGTTTCCTCTTCGGGCTGTGCCCAGCTGGGCTCCATGGGTGAAAGCCCGGCCACCAGGCGCTCGCCAACGTGCCCCACCTCCAGGCCTGGCTCCAGAGGGGGGCCCTGGTGACCCACGTTCGGGCGAGGGAGCACGGTTTCCATTTATATAATTCATCGTAAGAGGTCTTCAGGCTGCTCTTTGTCTGATCCCTCACCTAGGACCTGTTTGCCATGGGTGACCTTTCCAGAGGCAGAAAGCCTCAGACAACTTAGCTCCTAGGATCATTGAGACACTCAAACCCCTCCACCACGGTAAGGTGGCAGCCCAGGGAGAATAAACTTATTCATGTTGTAAGAGGCTCAGGGGTGCCGCAGCCCCTGCACAACTCCTCTCTTAACAGTAATTCAGGGATTAAACGATGATGCAACTGCTGAAAACTAAATCCCCATCTTTGGCAATACGTCTGGAACAACCAGCCTGTAAAATACTTCAAAACTTTTGGTT